CATCCAGTGAGCATATCAAGGGTCACTAGAACATTAAGAACTTGAGTTTTCTCTCGATCCCTGTAAGCTGATTTTAAGCTAAGAAACATGACCAGTCCCTGCACAGCATTGAGAACAGTATAGCACCCACAGTAAATCTGTAGTTGAACTGTCCATTGAGTGATGACCTGTCCATAAGTCATGGATTGGCCTTCAAGACTATTACCACCAGGTTTCTAACCTGGCCTTCAGAGCTCTTAACATATGTAGGCTGTGGGACTCTTCAGCATACTTCTGCAATCTTATTCAAAAGCCAGGTAAACTTTATATTGATTTTTTTCCCACATGTGTCAATGAGGAAGTAGAGTAGAGTGTAGACCTGGGCCCCACTAGGGAATTGTTATTCAAACAGTTGGCTTGAGGACAAGGCTGTAAAGCAGCTTTATCCATGTCTTTCTTGTCCTTAGGAATAATTCTATTACAAACTGACCAAGAGTTTAGCATTTGAGTCACAAAAGGTGAATTTATGCCATGTAAGAGTATTGCTTCCTGCTGGCATAACTGAATATCAACATATAGAAAAATGAAAATAGACCCATACCTATCTCCATGCACAAAACTCAAGTCCAAATGGATCAAAGACCTCAACATAAAGCCAGCCACACTAAACCTTATAGAAGAGAAAGTGGGAAGTACACTTGAATGCATTGGCACAGGGAACCACTTCCTAAGTAGAACACCAGCAGCACAGACACTGAGAGAAACAATTAATAAATGGGACTTTCTGAAACTTAAAAGCTTCTGTAAAGCAAAGGGCATATTCAACAAGACAAAACAACAGCATAAAGAATGGAAAAAGATCTTCACTAACCCCACATCAGATAGAGGTCTGACCTCCAAAATATACAAAGAACTCAAGAAATCGGATACCAAAAAATCGCATAATCCAAAAAAAATTGGAGTACAGACCTAAATAGAGAACTCTCAACAGAGGAATCTAAAATGTCTGAAAGACACTCAAGGAACTGTTCAACATCATTACTCATCAGAGAAATGCAAATCAAACAACTCTGAGATTCCATCTTATACCTGCAAGGATGGCGAAGATCAGATACACTGATGACAACTTATGCTGGAGAACACTTCTGCATTGCGGGTGAGAATGCAAGCTGGTACAACCTCTTTGGATATCAGTGTGGTGATTTCTCAGAAAATTAGGAAACAACCGTAATCAAGACCCAATAATAGCACTTTTGGGTATATATGCAAAGGATACCCAATCGTTCCACAAGGATATTTGCTCAACTATGTTTGTCATGGCCCAAACCTGGAAACAACCTAAATGCCCCTCAATCAAAGAATAGATAAGAAAAATGTGATAAATTAACACAATGGAGTACTACACAGTAGAAAAAAATAACGACAGCTTGAATTTTGCAGGAAAATGGATGGAGCTAGAAAACATTATTTTGAGTGAGGTAACCCAGACACAAAAATACAATTATCACATATACTCACTCATAGGTGGTTTTTAAACATAAAGCAAAGAAAGCCCGCCTAATACGATAATCCCAGAGAATTTACACAATAATGCAAACACTAAGAGAGACTTACATAGATCTAATCTACATGGGAAGTAGAAAAGTATAAAAAGAGAAGATCTCCTGAGTAAATTGGGGGCATGGGGACCTTGGGGGAGGATTGAAGGGAGGAGGGGAGAGGCAGGGAGGGGAGCAGAAAAAAAGTAGAGCTCAGTAAATATCCATAAAAAAGTGTATTGCTTCCTTGAATCTCCTTAAATCTAACATATTGGCACAGGCATCCAATTAGTTCTTTTAGAGCCCCTATCATTTGGCAATTCCTGTTAGGTTACTGGATATATTAAAATTGAGTTTTGAGAAACTAAGGCTGTTCTTCCCTAAACGTGTAATTCAATATTAAGATTGGTTCTCCATTAAATTTCTCATTGTACACAAATATATCAATGATTTTTTTATTAAGTTTTTCCAATACTTGTACCTTGGTACTCAAAACAAACAACTTTTTAAGAGATCAACCAAGATTTATCAAAACAACATCAAGGTTATCATAATGGTAGCCAGTAGTATGTTTATCCAAATTAAGTTGATTATCCCTTCATTTAGTTGTTTTATTTTAAAAACATACATTACATAATCATACAGAGAAATAACTTTCTCTACAGTAATTTTGCTTTCTATATTTTAACATGGGAAAATTTTCCCTCTTAACTAATTCCTACCTTTAAAATTTCCAATTTTCTCACCAAATCTGCTACTTATGATGATGAAGTGAGGCTTATTCTTCTCCACAGAGCAGTAATATCTTGACAGAACTTCGAGGCAGCTACCTCGCTTGGCAGCAGCCCAACAAGGAGCATCCTGGAAAGTCCACCAGGACAGAAGAAAGGATAATCTAACCGATAGTGTGATGGCTCCAGCAACATGTAACTCTGGCTTAAACCAGTGGTGCAAAGCCACAGGCAAATAGGCTTTTCATTAATTCATACCTCCAAAAGTTGGGCACCGGAGGTCACATGAATAATAAAAACCCAGAGACAATATTGAGGTTCAAGCTGAAGATCAGAAAAGCAAAGCAATCAAGCCACTAAAGAGTTTTTTACCTCTATCAAGGCTCAGACCAAGGGGGTGAACATATTCTCAGCATGACTGTAGACTGCAATGCTCCCCTCCAAACCTCAGACTGAAATGAGCTCTTGTCTTCCCTGCCTCACATGCCTCTCTCCATCCAGTCATACCACTCCTGTCTCCACCTCCCTAGTGCTGGGATTAAAAGTGAGTCCCAAGAGCTGGGAGCACATTATGTGAGTTCTTTTTATCTTTTATACTAACTCAGTCTTGTTTAGTCCTTGGATTAAAGATGTGTGTCACTACTTTCCGGCCTCTAGCAGCATAGTTTTGTACCCTGATCTTCAGGCAAGCTTTATTTATTAAAACAGAAATAAAATATAACTACGACTATGAACATCTGACTTTTGACAGGGAGGTAAAAATTGTACAATGGATAAAAGAAAGCATGTTCAACAAATGGTGCTGTCATAACTAGATATCAACATGTGGAGGGATGCACGTAGATCCATATCATTACCCATAAACAAAATTAACATCCAAATGGATTAAAGACCCCAACATGAATTCAGTTATACTGAAAAGTATAGAAGAGACAGTCACAAGCAGCCTTGAATACATGAAAACAGGAGATTCCCATCCTAACTATTACAGTAGTAACACAGACACTGAGAACAACAATTAATAAATGAGACCTCTTGAAACTGAGAAGCTACAGTAAAGCAAAGGACATGGTGAATAAGACAAAAGGACAGTGAATAGAATGAGAAAATATCTTCACCAACACTGTATCTGATAAAGGGTTGATCCCCAAAATATGTAAGGAACTCAAGACATTAGACATCAAAATACCAAATAATCCAATTAAATATGGGATGCAGATTTAATCAGAAAATTCCCAACTGAAGAATTCCAAATGACCAATAGACACTTATGGAATTATTCAACATCCTGAGCCATCAGGGAGATGCAAATCAAAATAACTTATATATATATATATATATATATATATATATATATATATATACACACCATCTTACACTAAGATCATAAAAACTGATAACAGTTCATGCTGAAGAGGATGTGAAGTAAGAGGATCACTCCTCCAGTGCTGATGGGAGTGCAAACTTGTACAGCACTTTGGAAATCTGTATGTTGGTTTTTCAGAAAATTGGGAATCAATATACACCAAGACCCCACAATATAACCTTTGGGCATATATCCAAAGGATGTATATTTATACTACAAAGATGTTTGCTCACCTATGTTCATAACCCCAGAAAGATACCGTGTTATGTGGATGTTAAACATAAGGCAAAGGACAACCAGGTTACAATTTACAAGTCCAATGTATGCAGAAAAAATAACAGGGGCTTTACAAATGTTCCTTCTTATACACAATCTCTTATTTTGGTTTTTCTCAATTAAACTGGTATTTGATTTTTTTAAATGCTCCGACAATATTGTTGAATATTCTGTGATGTAGTATATGTCTGTGAATTCCTATGTATTTTTTTTGTATCATGAATAAAAGCAACTGAGTGAAAGAAATATTTATTTAACTTATTGTTTCAGGTCACTAACCATGATTGCTAGAAGCCATGGCAGGAAGTGTGGATTAACTGATGATTAGTTAATAATCTTATATAAGCCAGATCCACCTTTGTAGTGGTGGTGTTGACCATTCTGAACTAGGCCCTTCAAGATCAATTAAAATTATCACCCACAGACATAGCCACAGGCTCATCTGTGCAAAATAGTTCTTAAATAAAAGCTCTTTCTTCAAAGGTAATATGACTTTGAATCAAGTTGACAACAAAAATGTATCAGTACATTATCAGAGCTAACAGATTGTGTTTTCTGAAGTCTAGAGGAAACATTGAATGCCTTTGACCTGCAATCAAAGAGATTTATGTGCCACCATTAGCCTATAGGGGTCATTCTTAAACCATAAAAGAGTTAAAAATTGACAAGGGATATTGACTGCTTCTCTCAGTGAGCAACTTTCTATGAAGTTTAGAATAAAGGTGGGCTTAAGTTTTATATTGAGTTCAAATGTTTCACCCTGAATTCAAAATGTGCAATGGTTTTAGTTAGTATGACTCACATTCAGCCTCACAGAGATGACAAAAAGAAAGTTTGTACTCTAAATTTGAGGAAATTAAATAACTATCATGGACAACTCAAATGAAGATTTATTCTGCCTAATATTGGTGGTTTGTTATTTTATGAATGTGTGGTTCTTTGGTTTAGGAACTGTCAAGTGGCATAACTTCATACACACACACACACATACACACACATGCCTACATATGAATAAATTTATAAGTGTGTATTATATATCATGATTATAATGTAGATAGTTTTTGTTTCCAAAAAGCCCACTCCTAAATAACCACACTTTTAAATTTTAAATTCTTGGCTTATAGCTTAGGTTTATTAGTAGCTAGCTCTTACAACCCATTTCTGCCACATCAGTGCAGCTAGGGCCAAGTCCGAGTGAAGGACGTCAGAATTAATGGAAAACGCACTTTGGGTAGAATCAGAAGCCTTTAATGTACACCACCAAGGGAGTTTTCTACCTAACCCAGACAGGTAGGCCGACAGGATGAAGACCTCATTGCCAGATGCTCGGGTTAGGGCCAAGAAAATGTATACTCAGGAAGCAGAATTGGTAAACAACTCTGAGAGCAGGGAACTTGCAAGTTTCTCAGAAACCAAGAAGAACAAGGGCAAGAAAGGTGATCTACAGGGGAGGTGAGTAGGAAGGCTAGGACTCCATTAGGCTCCAACACATTTCTATTAATTTATATATTGCCATTTGGCACGTGGGTTTACCTCTCCTTCAGCATGTCTTCCTCTTTCTGCATCTCCTGGTGACTCTCTGACTCCACATTTCTTCCCAGTGTCCTTAGTTTGGTTGTTATACCTATATTTCCTACCTGGCTACTGGCCAATCAGGTTTCTATTAAAGCTATCCGAATGAAAAATCATCACAGTGTACAGCATCTCTCATTTTTTTGTCTCATCAAAAAGGAAGGTTTTAACCTTAGCATAGTAAGATTATATACAAGAAAAAGTTATTAGGTAATAATTACATTTACAATGTCCAGTCCATTTGCATTTGACAAAATTAGAGAATGTATTTATTTATCTATCTTTGGAAGTTTAAATTTTTATATTTAATTTACCTTTGCCATAAGAAAAACTAATTCTAATTATTAATCTTTAACTCGATTATGATCCCAAAAGGGTGAAATTTGCCTAACAACAGGGACATCAGGCTACCTGGACAAGCATTCAAAGTTCTTCTGTAATGCTGGGGCAACCATCTTTGGCCTATAGGCTAGTGTATATGACAGAAATTTTTGTGAAGCAGGGCATTTTGAACGACTGTAATATTGTGACAAAGTTTGGCAGTTGTACCCTACTGTTTCAGTCTGGACAATATATTGCCAGCAATTGAGATTAAGGACAGTTTTCCCCCCAAAGCTTTTGGCATAAAGAAAGTAAACTCCATACTCCTCTCTCTCATCCTTTTTCTCTTTTATCTCTGTGTTCATTAGGAAGTGTACATGTGATTCTTAGAAGACAGCTTGTGGAATTGATACATTATTTCCACCACATACAATCCAGGGAAACAATACAGATAATCACATTTCCTGGAAAGAATCATGACTAGCTGATACATCTTATGTTCTTAGCACATTCTTCTTCCATTACTCACATTAGAAGTAATTTTACTAGCACAGTATTACAGAGTTATTACTAGTATTTGTTTTACACACTGTACTTCTTCTCACTGTGAGATCACTATGGACTTCAGCAGGGATGTAAAACACAGAAATTCCAGAAAATACTACCCTCCCCCAAAAAATAAAACTTTAAAGTTTTATTCATTTGAAACATTTTGAATATTTTCCCACATTTATTCTAAACATACAGGTTCTCAAAAGTGAAAAAGTAATCATAGTAGGAACTGTGATTGCTAAAAAATTTTCCACATGGTTATACATGTAAAGTCTATGTTCAGAGTGACTTTTTTAGAACATCATGGCAACAGGAACTGCTGAAGACTTTGAACAATACTTAAATGGATATATGCTTTACAATTCTTTCCAGTGTAGATCTGTGCATGAGGGTTACAGAAACTGGATGTGCTGAAGACTTTCCCACATTACAGACACTGTGTGAGATTTTTATGTTTGTTAAAAATCACAACAACAAAGAAATAGTTTATATACAATGTTTACATACAAAAAGTTTCTATCCAGTGTGAATATTTTTACTCTTGGACCAAGTGAATCTAGTAAAGGCTTTCTGACAATGATTACACACATGAGCCTACTGACTAGTGTGAAGAGTTTCAGATCTGTTATGATCACAAGAGCAGCGGAAGGCTTTTCCACAATTCTTATGTGCATAAGGCTTTACTATCAAGTGAACTCTTTTATGCTTCTTAAAAGTCTACAGAATGAACAGTTTCCACATCTTTTACACAAAAAGAGTTCCTCTCCAGTATGATTGTTTTTCGTGCAAATCAGGACAAACTGAAGTGTTAAAAGGTTTCCTGTAATGTTTACATGCAAAAGCCATCTCTCCAATTTGAACCCTTTCATGCATGTTCAGCTGACTGGAGTGGGTAAATGTTTTTCCACAATGTGTACATGCATAGCACTTCTCTTCAGTATGATCTCTTTCATGAACCTTACATGAATAGAAATTTGTGAAGGGTTTTACACAATACTTACATGAATAGGCCTTCTCTAAAGTGTGACTTCATTCAAATATGTTATAACTACTGAGGTCACTGAAGGCTTTTCCAAGGTGTTTCCATGCTCAAGACTTTTCCCCAATGTGAATCTTTTCATGAATGTTCAGGTGATTGGAGCAGGTAAACACTTTTTAACACTGCTTACATGTAAACGAATTCTCCTTAATCTGAACTCTTATCATGAGTCTTACAAGAACTGAAACTGGTATAGGTTTATTCACAATGCCTACAAGAAAAAGGTTTCTCTGCAGTGTGACTCCCTCCACGTCTATTACAACTACTGGGGTTGTTGAATGATTTTCCACAATGCTTACATAATAAGGCTTTTGTCAGTGTGAATTATTTCATGGATGTTCAGATCCCTACACCAGAAACAGTATTTCCACAATGTTTGCATGCATAAGTCTTCTGTTTCTTTGTAGTGTGGCTCCTTTAATGTCTGTTACACCTACTGGGGTTGTTGAAGGCTTTTCCACAATGCTCAAGCATAAGGTTTCTCTGCCCTGTGCCTACTTTGATGTTTGTTACGACTATTGGGACTGTTGAAGGCTTTTCCACAATGCTTACACACATAAGGTTTCTCTCCAGTGTGAATCATTTCATGAATGTTTCGAGAAAAAGAACTGGTGAAGCTTTTTCCACAATGCTTACATGCATAAGGTTTCTCTGCAGTGTGGTTCTTCTCATGTCTGCTACAATTACTGGCGTGGTTGAAGGTTTTTCCACAAAGTTTACACGCATAAGGCATTTTTCCACTGTGAATTATTTCATGCCTTTTCAGAATCCTGAGACAGAAAAAGGCTTTTCCGCAATGCTTGCATGTATAATTCCTCTCTGCTGTGTGCATTCTTTCATGAAAACGACGAGCACTGGAAGTGCTGAATGTTTTCCCACAATACTTACAGGCATAAGTTTTCTCTCCAGTGTGGATTCTTTCATGAAGGTTTCGATAAGAAGAACTGGTGAAGTTTTTCCCGCAATGCTTGCATGTATAATTCCTGTCTGCCATATGCATTCTTTCATGAATACTACAAGAACCGGAACTGATGAAGGTTTTTCCACAATAGTTACAGGCATAAGGTTTCTCTCCAGTGTGAATTCTTTCATGAATGTTTCGATAAGAAGAACTGGTGAAGCTTTTTCCACAATGCTTACATGCATAAGATTTCTCTGCAGTGTGGCTCCTCTCATGTCTGTTATGACTACTGCGGCTGTTGAAGGCTTTTCCACAATACTTACATGCATAAGGTTTCTCTCCAGTGTGAATTCTTTCATGAATGTTTCGATAAGAAGAACTAGTGAAGCTTTTCCCACAATGCTTGCAGGCATAAGGCTTTTGTCCAATGTAACTGCTTTCATGACTGTCATGATGACTGAATGGGGTGAAGGTTTTTCCATAATGTATAGAAGCATATAGGTTCTCTCCTATATGAGTTACTTTTTGTTTCTCAAAACATGCTGCATATTTAAATGTTTTGCCACATTGCCTACAAATGTACCTTTCCTCTTCAATATGACTTTTTTCATGGTTGGTAAGCTCACTGGAATCAATGAAGGATTCTTCACAGAGATTACATACGAATTGTTTCACTTCTTTTTGGGTTCCTTCATCACTCTGGTCATATGTGCATCTCATTAAGACATCCTCATTGAGTTTATCTCCAGTATGAGTTCTCTCTTGAGACTGATCTAAACACAGACCCCTACAGGTTTCTTTACATTGTTTTTTCCTGGGTTTCTCTTTAGGAGAAGTTTCAAGTACCTGAAGGAATTCAGAATAACTGATATTTTTCCAATGTTTTGGATGTTTAAATGCTTTTGCCACAGCTCCCTTATCCAGTGGTGGTTTTCCTCTAGTATTTTCTCTGAGATACCCATGTAAGGATAAATCACCAATGATATCTGTTGCAAGCAATGGAGTCTCATGAGCTCTTACTCTGGAAGGCATATCTTTATTGATCATACTCTCTGAACTAGCTTGCTGGCTTTTATCACACTCATTATGACATTCATTTCCATGGTCTTTCTGAATCCTCTGAATTCTGCAGAAAATGAGAAAAACAATACTTTAGACGAGAGAAATACTAAAGGCTAGCCTGTCTGGTACACAACTATAGAATCTCAGAGGGAATAAAATAATGGTATCAATTTCAAGACACTATGTATTTCATGGTAAGACCCTGCTATGTGTAAAGAAGTAGAGGACTAATGTTGCTTCTCTAAGAATTAAAAGGAGCTATATCACAGGCTTGGAGGTTTAGAACAATTCTCAATCTTTCTGCAAACAGATTCAATGACACAGATTCATGTGAAGAGTTCACAAATTCTGATCCACTTGATACATTAAAACATAACTCAGATACAAAGATATATAAAATAATTAAGAGGTACAAAATGAGTGAACAGGAAGGAAAAATGGTCATGGGGGATAGGGTCTGCCAGCTGATAAACGACTCAATCAGACTGGACTGGAAACAAGTTTGTGAAACCATTTTCACATTCTCAATTAAGCGGGGCTCACTATGTTGCATAGTGTGCCAATGGGCAGGATTTCAGGCTCTGTGTATGAAATGCATCTGCTAACTAGTTTCGATCTACTTGATACAAACTAGACCCCCCGTTTGGGAAGAATGAAATAGACAGCAGAAAATGACTTTATCAGATTGACATTTAGACATGTCTCTGGTAGCTTTGTCTTAATCACTGTATAAGGTGGAGTGGCCCAGTTCACTATGGGTGGTATCCCTTAGAGGGCAGGTAGCTGATTAAGGGATGAAGATCACTCCAGTAAACAGGATTTCCCCATCAATTCTGATTCAGTGCCTGTTTCCAGATTCTGATCATACTTGAGTTCCTGCCCTGGCTTCGCTTTATGATGGTATTCTGACAAGGAAGTTTGAAACTGTCCTCTACCCCAGAATTCTTTTTTTTTTTTTGTCACAGCAAAAGTAAGCAAACAAAGCACTGTATTGATGTTCAAAGCCTCATAAGTATGAACAGAAAGTAAAACCTTTGGCACATGATGGGATGTTTTATGTAATAATACAGTGAAAACCTTTTTTCAGCCTCATCATCACGTGACATATTTGCGATAATAATAGATAACACACATGAAATACTCAAATATAAATATCACAAGTCAATGCTCCATTATAGGGATTTGTGTAAGATCATGTTTCACTTAGTTATATTTGGAGTACTTGGCATGTTCTCAGTTGTCCCGAGTCCCAAATGTATAATATAAATTATTTTCTAGTAAATATAAATTACCCCATATTCCTGCTGAGATTTTTACAGTCCTCTTCAATATTTTCTTCTAGTGCTTTTTCTGCAACAAAATCCAGAGAATACATTATGACACATTCATATTCAACATAAAAATTATTGCAACCAAAAATTATTGCAATCATATTCTTATAATATGCACACTAAATAACCACATTTTAATTTAAGAATTCAATACCAATATAACATGCATAAGCATGACATGTTGCATGCAGTGAGCTGCTTATTAGTCCAGACTGCCCAGAACCAAAATTATGATACAGAAACTATATTAATTAAATCACTGCTTAGCCCATTAGCTTTCGATTCTGATCGGCTAATTCATACATCTTAATTTAACCCATTTCTATTAAAATGTATATCACCATGAGCTCATGGCCTACCAGCAAAGTTTTAGTACATCTATGTTCAGCAGCAGATCTATGGAGTCCCCCTGACTCCGCCCTCCTTTCTCACAGTATGCAGTCCAGTCCTCACTGCCTACCTAAGTTCTGCCCTGTCAATAGGCCAAGGAAGTTTCTTTACTTAGTAATGGTGATCACAGCACACAAAGGGGACCCCCACATCAAGTGCACAGTTGTTCAATGACCGAATAAGCAATGAGAGCATGTAATGCTTTTTACCTATGGAGATCAGATTCAAAAATGTTTCCTTCATCACATCTCTGTAGAGCTTCTTTTGACTAGAATCCAACACAGCCCACTCTTCTGAGGTGAAATTCACTGCCACATCCTCAAATTTTACTGGCTCCTATGAGTACATATATTAATTAGGAGGGTTAACTTACATTGACAGACTGACAGGATACATAATCATCTTGCATGTTTCTGAAGAAACCTCTAAATTATTATATAAATAGGATTTACTGAAGAATATCCATGGGATGCTATCTTTATTACTTGATGACCCACTATCTCATTTACTATTTATTAGTGTGTCCTTTATTAGCAACTTCATACTTCTGAATTTTATGAACTGCACTGTTCAATTGTGATATGAAACAAACTGCTTCTGCCTTTAAGTAACTTTTCTCATAAGGAATAGCAAGACAGGAAATCCAAGCAGAGACAGAGGAGGAAAGAAGGCAGAATCAGGGAGGTGCCATGAAGCTGCTAAAGGAGAAAGATGCCAAAACTTTTCCAGTAAACCACACCTTCATGAGATACATAGATTAATAGAAATAGATTAAGTTAAAATATAGAGTGAGCTAATAAGAAGGCTGAGCTAATAGGCCAAGGAGTACATAATTAACATTAATCCTCAGAGTGGTATTTCTTAAGCAGATGCAGGAGTTACTGAGTGGGACCTGGTGGGTGGAGAGAAACTGGTCAGGGGGACCAGAGGAATGGAGAATATTTATAACTACATAATGGTGCCCAATGTTTGTCCACATACATCTACATAAAGCCTAACAAAGCTTTAAAAAAGGGCTTCTAGACCCACAAATGCAGGAGTCAACTGGAGCTTCTTGGTAGCCACAATGTTTCAGAGAGCCTCTGCTTGTTGGTGGCTATCAGAAACACTGCTCCTTTAATACATGGCATCTTGGATCATGCTGGTGTCAGGAGTGGCTCTGGCTCTTTTGGGAGGTCCTTGTGTGGAGCATTTATGGGGTTTCTGAGAAGCTTGCAGCAAGTGCTTGCTGGAGCTGTGGTGGTGAACATGGTTTGCAGAGCTAATGGTAAATGTACCTCCACCATATTGAAAGGCCGAGAGCAGCAGAGTCAGCAACCAGGGCTTCAGCAACCATACTCCTTACCATAAAAGAAAACACAACAATACAAAACACTCCTGCTGTGGGAGCTCCTTCAGTCAACAGCCTTTAAGATACCAGCAGACATGGGTATGGTCTCATACTAAAAATGCAGCTGTAAAGCCTATGCTTGCTCTTCTCCTTCCAGATTTTGCTTCCAGCTGCTGGACTCTGTACCTGTTTCCCATTAATGCAGAGGACTGTGATCTATTAGGTCTCCCTTAAATAAATAACCCTTTATTATTCATAATTCTGAATAATGTGTGTGGGATTATTTTGTGACTTCCACCAACAAACAGTGCCGAACATGGAGAAAGTGCACCCACAGGAAAGCTGAGAGAACCTGGGAATAGAGTTAAGCATGGTTTCTTGGTAGCAGCAATTTCTTGGGTGGGCTCTGTTTGCTAGAGGCAAATGTGTCCCATTTAATAAAAGCCTCTTGATTCAGCTTTAGCTTGAAAACTGTGCAGCCCTTTTAAGAGGTCCTGCCAGGAAACACTTAAATTATGTTGAGGAAGAGCTGACCACATGCTTTGTGGTAGTGGCAGGGACCTTGAAATGCCATAGAGTAGTGGCAATAAACATGACTGATGCTGGTATCTCCTCCATGAGGCTGGAATCTCAGAAAGCTTAGTAATGGCCTGGATCCAGTCACCAAAGTGAAGACTTTCATCCTAGCCATATCACTTAGCAAATTAAAGACAAATGTGTTCAGAAAAAGAGAGATATACAGTGAAGATAGATTCAAAGACTAAGATAACCTCGAAACCATTTGCTGTGTGTTTAAAAATATATGTAGGCTTGGGAGAGAAAAGGAGAAAGTCCTTAAAATAAAATAAGAAGAAAAAGAGATTAACTGGGCAGTGGTAGCGCAGGCCCCTAATGCCAGCACTTGGGAGGCAGAGGCAGGTAGATCTCTGTAAGTTTGTGGCCAGCCAGGTCTACAAGAGCAAGTTCCAGGACAGACTCCAAAGCTACAGAGAAACCTTGTCTTGAGAAAACAAAACAAATAAACAAACAAACAAAAATACCCTATCCACTACTCAGAGACCATTTGTAATTATACAAAACAGCAATGTTGAAACTTAAACATCATTTTACTTTCACAGGATCCCATAGAAAAAACACTTCCCCATGACAGTAGGAAGCAATTCTTGAAAGCAGCATCCCCTCTCACAACAAAGTTTGTCCTCATGGTTAAAGACACCATTTAGGGGTTGATTATTACTCGCATAGGTTTGGGGTTGGAGTGGAAATTATGTACGCCTAGAGATAATGGTAATAGGTAGCTTAGTGTATACTTACTCACACTAGTAATAGTAATAAAAGTGAGTAATACAGTAAATACTTGTGAGCTTTTATTTAAATGCAATTTACACTGGTATAGTTTCTTGTATATTGATACAACTTCAAATTATATTTGTTAGCTCTGTTTACAATATTTGCACACTATGCAACATTATTTTGTCATATTGTAATTGTATGCATGTATGTTTTTACCTGTTTTGAGATTTTCTGTATATTGATACAATTTTAGGATATATTTATCATATTTCTCCGATTAAGATATTTCTATATCATTTACATCTGATGTCAATGTGGTCCCTTACAGCACAGTTTAAATATTTTTAATATTCTGATATGAAGTCTTAACCTTTAAGTTACATAGTTAATAAGTATCATCAATCATTAGTCATATTTGTTATTCTTTTAGTCAGACTAATTAGGTTCTTAAGATACATAGAGATTCTATTCTGCATAGATAATTAACCTTCAACTACCTCAAAGTTCTGTAGAATATGTCATTTAAATAACTTAGGATTCTGTTGACATGAAGCATGATTGCTCCTAGCAGCAACAATCTATCCCCAAGAGAGTGCTGAGCACCAAAGACCCTCTACTTGGAATTTTGTCTTTTTCTTGGCTCAACTGGCCTTTGGGCAAGGAACTGCCCATCCCTCGACCACTGACAGTGCACAATGTCCAGACTGGACAAGTAGGATACAAGAAAAAAGACTGTCAAATCTTGCCAAGACAGGGTAAGACTATTTTGATAATTTTCCTGCCCCTGGAAATGATCTGTCAGTTACTCTAGGCCTTAGTCAAAGTTGGTGGCTTCAACGTTGCAAATGAGACTTTGGGTGATTGCTAAAGGTAGCCAGTTGTCTCTGGCATCTACTGTACATTTTGGAAGCTGCTTGACTGCACTTCCTGCCTACTAGAGTAATGTAATCTCCCTACTAAAGCCTTTGATGAGGTTGAAGATTAGTAATAGTTATCACCCTCTTATGACTACCCAAGCCATTTCCATTTAAGGAGTCTAAGTCTTAGGATACAATGTTTATTAAAACATTTAGCATACATTCCTTGCTTAATACTGTTTATGCTGGTTGTAATTCTAATTATACATGTTATCTCTTCCTAGTGTATATAGTTTTGTATTGGGTTTGGAACTCCCTTATTTAAACAAAAGGGAGAGGTTCTGTGTGAGCTCCTTCTGCTCCTTCAGCCAATAGCCTTTAAGATACCAGCCAACTTGGGTATGGTCTCTTATACTATAAATGCAGCTGTAAAGCCTGTGTTTGCCCTCTTGCTTCCAAATATAGCTGCTGGCTGCTAGACTCTGTTCCTGTTTCCTATTTGTGCAGAGAACTAGGATCTAGGACAGTGATCAGCAAGTCACCCCTAAATAAATAACCCTTTATTATTCATAATTCTGAACCATGGTGGAATTATTTGTGACTTCCACCAACACACTACTAGTCGGAAAAGGAATTCAGATACACAACAGGACAGACTCAGACATAAAGGACCTCCAAACAAGACATGGTGTGTGTTTAAAAAATTTGCACAGGCTTGGGAAAGAGAGGGAAAGAGTAGATGTTCCAACAACAGAAATGCTATAGTCTATATCACAGACATAGATCAAAGAGCATCATTGGGAATAAGAACTCTGTCAGTAACTAGAGTAAGGGTCATTCCTGTGGTATTATCATCATGAACATAGCTTCATCCTGTCCTATGAGAGAAATAAATAAACTTGAATATGAAAACTTTTAAAAATCTTGACTGAGACAGATTTTTAAATAAACCTAATTTAAGACTCAATTTGTCAATTAGCAATCTGACATATTTAGTGGAAACTAGGAGGAAATATTTGATGAAACATATGCTTGGCAGACTATTTTAAGGATATTAATTACTACAGGGAATCTGAAATAATAAGGCAAAGTTATTTTCTCAATATTTGCATTTTAGGAATTACAGGGACTAAAGGATCATCTCTGAGATGAGGGCCTTGTTCACCATAATGAAATTGTACCCTTGCATTAAGTTGTGTCGTGAGAGAAATAGGGATCTTATACTCTTTATAGACTCAGAGCTGAGATGATTAACCAAAAACATAATGATCAATGGTTTATGTAACTTTCATAAAAAGAAGATTTAATTACACTATTATCTATAAGAAATTAATGTCAACCTGGAAATTTGAATTAAATTAAATTTAATATGATCACTTAATTATCAGACAAAAAGTACTATGGAACCAATGAGGAAAAAAAGCACATGTTAGCAATACAAATTTACTTAGGTAAAATGAAGACCATTTTAAAGACAAAGATAGTGTACCAGTTTTCCATGTTATAGTAGGTTGTTCAATAGCTCTTAGATCATATTTTGCCAGTATTTGCCATCCTAAATCTAAGCCTATCCTTTAGAAAATATGACTTTAATCTAAGAAGAAAATCGTGGAAGCAAAGACATAGAGCTTAATCTGATTATTGGGCAGACATTAAGCAGGCTGAGTAGATACCACAAGCTTGGTATTTCAATGACTTCTTCCTTTTAGTTTAAATTGAACAAGAACAGAATTAGGAAAAACTTGTCAATAAAGAGGTTGGCATGCATAGATGGGCAATTAGTCTTAATTTTTAATGTGGTAAGTTGAAATTTATCATAGCAATGATAATTATTGTTATGCTAACACATAACAGCA